TGTACACATGCTCTCATAAGAGGCATGAGCTTCATCTCAGTCATAGATAGGATTAATATTCTTCTTGATTACAGGAAAGGTACTTTATTCATTTTTTGTTAAATATTAGCTGATGATTCCTAATGTGAGACTGAACCCCGAATTTTATTCCTTCCTCTTTCCATAGCATCGCTTATGTTCCATAAACATCTGCCAGAGTTGCTGGGAATCAGGCAGCATATACCTTTAAATCATCATCATCATCCCCATTATCATCATCAACTGTGATACAGTTACAGATATTGCTAGAACTAAGATCTTCTACTTTCTATAGACCCCCACTGGCTATTAGTGCTATAACACAGCCAAATAGGTGGAGTAGCCAATACCTGTCCCAGTTCTCATCCAGTTCATCACAAGATTCACCACCTGTGGTATAATCAGCATCATAATTATCACTGTTGGCTCTTCTTGTTCTTCCTCTTTTCTTTTTCTGCTGGAGCTCCTTAGCTGACCCATTGTAATTGCTAGTGTTCACATACTGGGACTGTTTTAGGTCTTTTAAGGGAGCAACAACTTCAGGTACCCTGTTAAAAAATAAAGATAATTAGTTCTCAGGTTCATACCAAAACATCAACAATACAGGGGGTTAATTGGATGATGCAGGGAAAAATGGTATAAAAGAACTATGTTACATGGATATATAGATGGACAACATGGCTATTTTTCAGTGACAAATAGTGTAATAGTCTTGCTATCTGTATTGTTTATATTCTATTTTAAGGTATAAGCTGATATCCTTTTCCAAAGGCACAAATTATTAGTTGTATATCTAATAATTAGAATTGCAATTATACTTCAGCCAATAGGTGTTAGGTTATTCCTCTGTAATTACCTAATAATAAAAAGAAAAGCAAAAATGTACTGAATTGTGAATATGAATTATATTTGTATTGGAAATATTTATATTTTGAAACATTGAAATAGAATTAAAAAGCAATAGGTGATTATTATAACTGACTGATTATTGTAGGCTTCTAAAAATTGAAACATAATTACTTGGCATTAATGACTGGGCAAATCACTTTCAGAATCTGAATGGCTAAATACAATTGTTGCTCATTAACACAATGGTCAGTCTGCAAAGCCTACAGCTTACAACAGTTTTCAAACTTGGCAACTTTAAGATGTATAGTATAAACTTCAACTCCCAGAATTCTGGGAGTTGAAGCCCACTATCATAAAGTTGTAAACTTTGGAAAAACTGGCGTACAATGACCACTTTCTGAACCTAATATATTAAATAATTTATTTAACAACCTACCATTGGAAAAGCAAATCTCAACCTTCCCCTGTATCATGTAGATCAGGGAGGCAAAATGTGACCATGCCCTCCCACCACCACCACGTGCATCAAAAATTTGGAGCATCTAGAGTAGGTGGGTTTGAAGAAAGCAAATTGGGTGCTTTAAGTGTTTTAAATTCTTCAGTTATCTATTTCATCCCTTAAAACCCTCTCAAAATGGACATCACCAACTACAATGTATCACGTGACAAAACCTGACAACTATATGAAGGATATATCTAAATTGCACATCCTGATGAAAATGGTGCAACAAACCAGGAATCTTCAAGATCAGTAGGCAAATCTGAAAATTTTAAAGTGTTGAAGGACACTCTAAAAACTGGTAAGGCAAGTAGCAGGGCTTTCTGTTTACAAAATAGCTCCATGGTACTCTCAAAATACTTCTTTATCAGAAAGCAAACTCTATAGATGCCTCATATATAGCATATGGAAGTAAGAAAAAGCAAGCCAGGCTTGTAAACAAAAGGAAATATACCTCTTTGAAATTATCTGCATCTCTTCAATAATCTAAATTACTGATGTTTCTCATATAAAGCTCTTGCAAAAATACTGCTTTGTTAAAAACATGGGAGAATATGAACTAAAAGAATCTTTCTAATGTTATCATATTTATCCCAAAGGACGACAAATTCACCATCTCCCATGGAAAAATAAACAGCAAGAAATATTTATCTAGACAAAAGTCCTGTGCATTATCTGTTTTGCTCCCCTTTACTAATTTAGGGTCACTATGTCTCTCTGAAACCAATTCTGGAATCTTTTTCTGTAAAAGAATACATGCATGTGAAACACTTGTATTTACATAATTGTGTATGTGTGTGTATACATATTTACAAGTATGCATTTATATATTGCATGCATGCATACACACACACACACACACACACACACACGTCAAAAACCTATCTAAAAAGAAGAGCCAGAACTAGGGAGGGGGGAGCATAAATTGAATTACAACTAAATCCTGGACTTAACATACTAATATGGGAAAGTAGTATCCAAAAAAGAATGACTATTAAATCCAAATGATACTGTAAACATGAATGTTTTATGCATTTATGAACACAATTTTACGTATGCATATTTTATTCATTCTAAGTATGCATATTTCAGGAAGTTATATATACATACAATAGGAAATAGGTTTTAATGCATAAATAAAATAGCAAACAGGATTCTACACATTTGAAGAAAATTATAAGTTACAGGTTTTATTCGTAGCATCCCAAGTGCCCTAAACAAGGCTATTAACTCAAGGGTTAACTTTTATTAACTACTGGTGATTCAAATCATCTCATTTAGAAAACCAATTGGCCTCTGCACCAAGGAACCTCTGCTTCTCTCACATACAAATCAGCCTCCTCTACAGAAATACACAAACACACACACTCTGACATACTTCTCTCCTCTTTCCAGCAGAAACAGTATAAAGGAGGTAAGAAAACAAGGTGGAGATGCGAGAAGAAAGGTTGCTGTATTTGGAAGGAAGGCAGTGAAAGAGAAGGACACAAAATTAAGTAGAAATGATGGGATGAGATGGGAAGATATAATTGGACAAGGGGAAAAATACTGTAAGGTAGAACATCTTGTTAAGGATTAAAGAGTCAAATCTGGCAGGCATGTAGTCCCAAACAACAAATCAAGATGACATTCTCAATTCACAGATAATCATCTTTCTTTTAAGTATAGTCAAATTAAGGGAAAACTGAATATTACTGCCAATCAGGAAGCCAAAGTAGATTAAGTGCCTTAAGACCCAGAAATATTGGCTTCATGCCTTCTGTTTACTGTAGCTTTCATCATAGCTTCCTTTAATCATATTATTCAATCTATACTGCAACACAAAGACGATGTTGTAGTAGAAAATACTACAAGAAACGAAGACAATATCATGACAGTATAACTTGTTTCAGGTGGAAAGACTTCCAGAAAGGGTTCCAGAAAGCAACTTAAGCAAAAGTTAACTTCAATTATTTACAACTGTGTGACAAACTCTGGGAGGGTTCTGGCGGCTGCACCCAAGACTTCCAAAGGTGGTTTTGTGTTCCCAGATCACAAGACTGTCTTGTCCGTCTCAGCTCTACTTTCTTACCTAGCCCTGACAATCTCACAGAGCACAGGGTTCAACGTAATTTGTATTTATACACTACGTTATCAAAAGGCAAATTGACTATTCTTATCCAAACAATGGCTATCTTATACAAATACAGATTAGAACTGGAACATACATACAAGACAATCATTTCATTAATACAAAACTACATTTGAACAGTCTTCGGTTCACCCATCTCCTATTTAGAACTTTTTTTTTTTTTAAAGCTGGTCATTAGGTCTGAATAACCTATAACTTTTCAGTAGATTGAACATGCTTGTAGAGTACTACGTATAACTCAATTTATGGACTTAATTTAAAATACTACAGTTAATAAATCAAGGACAAGTGTTTGATTGAAACAAAAAAAAAATAGATAAGTCTTCAGGGCAAGCTTGATTCCTGGTGAATGTGGAGATGCCCATATTTTCTCCTTAGAAAACATTTCAAAATTGTTTGCTTTCTTTGGGTTGGTTTTTAACTTCCCAGTCTGACAAACCTTGGAAGCCTCTCATTCTAGAATTAATTAGGGCCAATTAATACCTCATATTTATATTCATTAGTGCCAGTTATTAAAATTGTTAAAGTATTTGGGTTGATCATGTGCAAGCATATTAATATTTAATGGAATACAGGTAGTCCTTGACTTATGACCACAACTGGGCCCATAATTCCTGTCATTAAATGAGATGGGTAATAAGTGAGTTTTGCCTCATTTTATGATCTTTCTTACCACTGTTGTTAAGTGAATCACTACAGTTGCTGTTAGTAACAAGGTTGCTGAGTGAATCTGGCTTCCCCATTGACTTTGCTTTCAGAAGGTCGGAAAAGGTGATCATATGACCCGGGACACCCTGACTGTCATAAATAAGAGTCAGTTATCAAGCGTCTGAATTTTGATCACATGACCATGGGGAGGCTGCAACGATCATAAATGTGAAAACAATCATAAGTCACTTTTTTTCAGTGCCACTGTAATTTTGAACGCTCTGTAAATGAACTGTTGTAACTCAAAGGCTACCTGTATATGCTGCTCTTATAAAGGAAAAATAGGATGATTTACAAAATTAGAAACAAGAGCAAAAATTAATTTGATACATTGTGAAACGATTAGTAGCAGAAAAAAAAAATCTGAAAGGACTGAGAGCTAGAATGAATAACACTGATTTTAAAAGTTTCACCAACAGCAATACAATGAGGATTCGTGGTCTATAAAGTTGCTCTAGAAAGGAGAAAAATCTCATATAGCTTTGCACCCATGTTTTTGCCCTGACTTTCAAATACACTGCACTCATTCAAGCAAGCAGAAAAATGGGAATGATTACTCACGGACTAGCTGTGTAGTTGTCCTTGCGAATCTGATGTGCAGGAGCATCAGAAATTGAGTATCCCATAGAACTGGCAATTCGATCTGGATAGTCAATTCCTGGGGAAGTTGCCACTGGCTCTGGACTTACATTCTTAACCTGGAAAATCACACGAGATAAATGTTTAACATTGAAAGGGATACGATTAATCTAGTACTTCAGGTTTTAATTGCTTAGATTTCGTACATTTAAATATTACACAACACTATCAGGAAATGAACAAACAACAATAACTTATTGGAATGCAGAGGAGGTATTAGCTTCTGCAATAGAAGCACACTACTAACAAAGATATGGAGTTCCAGTGATAGGCCACTGCGCTACAAATGTAATTTATGGAGTGATTCCATTGCCAACATTTTTCACTAAGTTTTCTTCAGGAATAATAGGAATCACTGCAATTTAGCACAAGAAATAAATATAAGATTGATTGATTGTCTGTTTGTTTAATATAGCTACCCATTTCAGTTTTATGTGACTCTCGATGGGATTGGCCACCAATGGAGTTTCAACATGCATGGAGCATAAGATTAACAATGACTTCAGTCATAATGGCTATACCTACTATCTCTAGAATCAGAAGTAGCACAGCTCTGAACACTGGACTGCCATCTCTATAACCTGTCTCACTTCTACTTTCCATCTGATGAGATAATGTGACAAACTGGACTGGATGGGTTTTTCCTCATTCATCATGACCATTTCTTCTAGGACAGCAGTTCTCAAACTTTCCAACTTGGCGGCACAGCGAGGGGGGAGGTCATAGTTCTGTGTGAGTGGCAGGCACACATGAGTTCAAGTACCTGCTACTCGCGCAAGTTGCCTGCAGCTTGCACAACCCACTTCTGAACAGGCCACAGACCAGTAGTGGGCTGCAGCCTGGTGGTTGGGGACCATGTTCTAGCAGCACTTACTGATGTCATCTTAGGAATTTTCATATGGGCTTCAGTTAGAAAAAAGCATGTAGTAATTCTTGACATGATCACAACTGTGACCACAATTTCTGCTATAAGTTATTGGATTCATAAGTTGAGTCAGACCCGATTTTACAACAATTCTTTTGGCAATCGTTAAGTGAATCCAGTTTCCTCAAAGCATTTCTTTCTGGCATTTTTTTTTGCCAGAAATTGGTCAAAAGGATCATAAATCATGATCATTTGATTAGACACTGAACTGGTCGTACATACAATCTGGCTATCAAGTGCCCAAATTGTGATCATGTGACTGTGAGGGTGATGCAATAGTTGTAAGTGCAAATTTTAAAAAGTGTTGTAAATAACTTTTTTGAAGGCTGCTGTAACTTTAAACTGACATTAAACAAATGATTGTAAGGCAAGGGCTACCTGTAATCCTGGAAAATGAAAGAGCTGTATGCTACATTAAAAAAACCAGGCAACCATATTTTTTTCCAAGTGCTTGTGTTATTTGTTTCTTGTTCAAAGCTTTGTTTGAACCCAGAGATTGGGTAACTAATGCACTGTGTAAATTAATAAATTAATCATGTGCAATTACCTCACACAATATTTCCTATGATTGTGTAAAGGTAGGAAATCTGTTCTGCAGACATTAATGAATCATAGTGCCAAGCCACCCTAAACAGTATGACCAATGGTGAGGACTGAGTTTTACTTCTGCAATATTTGAGTGTGTCACTAAATCCCAATCTTTCAGCAGTAATCCTTGCATGCAACTGCTCACACTAAGAACACAAGTTTTACTAGAAAGTTTTCTTTTTATCAGGTAAAAAAGGAGCATTCTTTACCACATAACAGCATGTGAAGCAACATCTCAATTAAACCAGTGTAAATGTTTATCATGCTAGGGTAAGAAAGCAGCAATCCAACAAAAACCCAGTTCTCCAGGACACATATGCTGATTAAAAGCTTAATACACATACCAATCGAAGAGGAAAAAAGGTCTTAAGAACTGCCACATTTTTCAACAAAAAGAGAGCCAGCAGGAAATGAAATCTGTTGAAATCCATTCAACAGAGAAGACCTAATTCTGCACCTGTTTTAACTCACTGTTCCAAATAGAATTTAAGGACATTTCCCTTTTACTTAAGGATCCACTTACAGATCCAACTCCAGTATGTATGGGGACTGGACAGATTGACAGATCAATAAGTTGTACTCGAAAAGAACTTCCAGGCAAATGTGAGAGTGACACATTTATATATTCAGGAATGTTCAGCCCAAAATATTCGAATTTGTTAACAAGAATGATTAACAATGCTAACTGCAAGGCAAGATGTCACAGAAATAGATATGGTCAGATAAATAATGTGCTATAACTTCGTGCTAAGAAGACCATGTGGCTGAAGCAATATCTGCTATCTAAAGAGAGTGGTCCATATATTCCTTCAAGGTACAGCGGTGCTTAAAAATTTGTGAATTCTTTTGAATGTTTAATATTTCTGCATAAATATGGCCTAAAACACAATCTATTCTCCACACTCCTCTTAAAACTAGATAAAGAGAACCCAATTAAACAAATGAATCAAAAACATTGAACTGGCAAATTCTATAGAAGAATGTTAGGGTATCTATCCTCAAGAGGAAAATGTCTCATGCAGCAAGACAACAACCTAAAATACACAAGTTGTATGGCCAAGAATGGCACAAGCAGAAGAAAGTTAATGTTTTGGAATGGCCAAGACAATGTCTGACCTTAAACCTATAGAAATGTTGTGGAAGGACCTGAGGCAGGCAGTTCCTCAGGAAGCCTATCTGAGTTGAAGCTGTTCTGTAAAAGCTAAAACGCCTCCAAGCTGATGTGCAAGGCCAATCAAATTATCAGAAACATTTAGTTGCAGTTATTGCTACCCCCAGGGGAGAGAGGAAGGGGCAGTTGAGTAAACCAGTACTGAAAACAAAAATTCATCTGCTATTGCCACACAAAATTATGTGGCTTTGGATCATTTCCCTCTAAAATCAGTGAGTAAGTATAATGATTTTGACACATTTGCTTACTTGGGATCTCTTTAACTAGTTTCAGTACTTGTGTGGAAAATAGATCATATCTTAGGTCACCTTTATGCAAAAATATTAAAAATTCAAAAGAGTTCATAAACTTTTAAGCACCACTGTATACTGAGGTAGGTTTGTATATGTTAACTGCTGTAAGGCTGTTAGGAGTTTCATGCTGAAAATGATTCCTTCCTTGGAAAAATGGTAACAAGCTATTCGATCTTCAGAATAACTTTGTCTTCAAATTAAATCTGAATTTCATTCTACTGTAATCAGAAATCATCCTTGGACTATAATTTGTTTCATATATACCACCCCACAAATTTGTTTTTCTAATTTAATGTATAGAAAAGAGATATAATGTGTGGTTCTACTTTGTGGGAAACTAGATGCTGGCAATCATTTAATTCATTGTTAAGAATGATTTACACTCATTTGACTATGGTTCCTAGTAAGTAAGCTTGAAGCTTAATAGTGATTTTTATGGGTTTTTAGAGTGAAATATTCCTTTATTTTTCTAGTTTATATTTTTTATTTAAGTGTTTAATTACAAAAAGGCAACAATCCTGAAGCCTTGCTTTGTTTCTTCATATTGTATAAAACATCAAAAGAGAGCTATAGTTCATCTATCATGTAAACCATTGTTTAATAATTATCTGTTGAATAAATCACAATTGCCAAAATCCAAAACCAGGTTCCAAATACATGATTAATATACTACACAAATCATATAATGGCTTACAGTTTTTGTGCACTGTGCTGTGCCAAATGTTTTCAACAAAAACATATTGCCAGATGTCCATTTATTGATACAGGTAGTCCTCAATTTACAACCATTCATTTAGTGAATATTCAAAGTTACAAGGATACTGAAAAAAGCGACTTATGACCATTTTTCACACTTATGACCACTATCCCCATGGTCACATGATCAACATTTCAGATGTTTGGAAACTGGCACATATTTATGACTGTTACTGGGTCACTTGATTTACTCTGGGTCACTTGATTTACAACTGTCTGATAAGCAAAGCCAATGGGGAAGCCAGATTCATTTAACAACCATGTTACTTACCTAACAACTGCAGTGATTCACTTAACAACTGTGGCAAGGAAATAAAATGGGGGAAAAATCACTTAACAACTGCCTTGCTTAGCAACATAAACTTTGGGCTCAATTGTGCTTGTAAGTTGAAAACTATTGTAGTCATATCTTTCTCTAGTTGCTTCAGAAGAGCAAGGATCTCCCAAGGTAGGTAGCTAATGTTTCATCTTCTCACATTATAGACAGGGCAAAATAGTTCTTGCTGACAACAGGTTAAGATTATTCAATAGCTGCTTAATATGTACATGGACCTAAGAGAGCACTAAGACTGTGTCTGTGGCCTAATATATTTTATAAGATAGTATATGTTATAAGCATAACTACATACCACAAAAGCGTATTTCTAAACTGCAGCTAATATTCAGTATTATATAGACTGGTTTGATTCTGGGTTAGCGTGATATATAAAATGAGCTATCTGATTTGCAAATTGTACTTTACAGATTACATTATATGTGAAGCAACTCACAATGTTTCAATAAACTATGGTTAAACAATATATTAACAAGGTAAGTGCACTCAGCTGGCATGAGAGGAAGAAAACTCACGCTACATAGGTTTATCTTTTTTGCTCTGTGAAAATGAAATTACTCAAAGAAAAACTTACTTATACAGTGCTGGGTAAAACTACTTTATTGTAAAGAATTCTCTAGTAATAAGTCTTTCCCATGTTCCTAGCACTCTGCACTGAATAAAACCAGAATGCATAAGTGTTTTTGTTGTTTTTGTTGTTGATCTTTGTGGTGGGAGCCCAAATTCTAAATTATGAAAAAGTCATTTTTTTATTAGTAGCCATACAAATGGTATACAATGTTTTTAAAAGAGTAAAGGAAGAATAGACATGTAAAGAAAGAATGTGGTAGATTACATTTTGACATTTAGACTTTAAACATATAAAATCTGAATGTGAACACAATATCATATAACTATTCTTGGTAGATCTATCTATATGCTCAGGTGCAAGTTTATGCTGAGTTTATCTGTCACATGTGAAAGAATTCTAGCTAAATTGTTTTGGAGGTGTTTATGGAACACTGAATCAACAATTGTGGATGTTTCTTATTATTCCCAAATAACAGAGGGCCCATTCATATATAATATAAAATAAGTGATGGTTTAGCAACTTGGGAGTCATTGTACAGACACTCACTCAGAGCTCTTAATAACATATCCTGTCACATGGTGAGTGACATTTTTCTGTTAAATATGCAATCACCAACTAAAGGTGGTCACAAACCAGGAAGTATTAATTAACTGTAGTGTACAAGAAGAATTAGTACAATAAGGGAAATATCTCAGTTTAATGCTAATTTTTTCTTACAGTGCTAGACTACTAATGCAGTCTAATGCTACTTATTGACTACTTAACTCAAGTAGTATTAGAATAAATCTACATGCTAGATTTATTGCTAGACTACTATTTTTACATTTAAATCCTGCCCCCACCCCGGGTAACTCAAATATGGTGTATATGGTAGTTCAACAATGACATCCTTGTAAGATACAGTACATTGAACTGACACCCTACAAAGGCACATGCTTGAGGCTGAATTTCAATCTAGGTCTCCCTGGTTCAATCTAATACTTTATTTCAGGTGTGCCCAGCCTTATGATTTACCTGGGCCACAATAAGTAAAGAAGAATTGTCAGGTTGTGCATAAAATATGTAATATACTTAATGTATGAATGTATGTGTGTATGTATATATATATTATGATCTTATAGGGCCACATTACTAGCTGTCTAGACTTGATGCGACCAAGAGGCCACCAGTTGGACACACCTTACATACAGCACCACAATGGCCCTGTATAATTTAGCATTATAGTGATTCACTAATTTTGGCATTAGCTGCAGACAGAACAATATCTAAGAAATAACACTAGGTTACATAGCTTTAATTTTGGGGCAGAGGAAATGTATCTTCTTCATGTGGTATAGGTACCATATTAGATCTTTGTGGACTCACTAAATCCAAGCAAAGATAACAGTCTCATATGGTATTTTTCAGCACCTAGGGAATGCATTAGAGCAGGGGTCCCCAACCGCCGGTCCGCGGACCGGTACCGGGCCGCGGAACAAGCCTTACCGGGCCGCTGGTTGCTGGGCGCCGCCATCTTTTTTTGGTAAAAAAAGCAATTTTTCGTCAAAAAAGATGGCGGCACCCAGCTGACGCCGGAACCGGGCCGCGGCGCCCAGCTGACGCCGAAACCGGGCCGCGGCGTCGAAAAGGTTGGGGATCCCTGCATTAGAGCAGGCGTGTAAAACTCACGGCTCGCGGGCCAGATGCATCACCTGCTGGCCCATTCCTGCCCCGTTTAGTGAAGGGGGGAAAAAGTCATGACACCACCCCTGCATTAGAGAAACTAAGGCATTACCATTACTTGTTGCAAGGAAAAAATAACTTGCTCTTATCCTTAAAGAAACATTTTTCCCTTTCCAAATGAAAACTACTCAGTCTTATTTGAACTAAGGCAAGTAACAGAGCTTGACACCTCTCAATGAGAGTTTTTTTTTTTTAATGATACTCCATTCTTCTTTGAAAATGCTATAAGAAATTACAATGTCCCAAAAAACCCAGCCTGCTTAAAGGGCTCAGAATGATTTGAGACATTTCAGAAGCAACTCCCAGCAGCTTCACAGACTCAGATCGACACAGCAATCGTGGCTCTGCCTCAATTGCTTTTGGGCTCAAAAGCTGTAAGGGCATAGTCACTCCAAACTGTGGGAAATTACTTTTATGCAGATGAACATAAAGCACTTTATATGGTTTGCAAATCTGTGACAACTCACCTCCCCAGGTTTTACAGCTCAACACACTCAGCACTGAATGTTGAAGCCATTTCATGTTTTGCTCAGTTACAATAACTGTATTTAGTCTCTGTAACCAAAGCCATTTAGTGGACACAAAGAAGACAACATCAATCTTGCGGTCTTCTGCTTAATCCTCAGGCAATTTTGGTTAGCAATTATAATCTAGGAGAAATGGATTAATGTCCTATAAATGGCTCTGCATACTGAGTAATTCTGAGTAAGTTGTTATGTACATTTCAAAGTCCTCCAAGAAACAGAGAAAAAATATGACAACACAAGTGCAAAGGAGCAGTAGTGCTCCTCCCACCTTCCACCAAGCCTCCTGTGAGGACAGATTTTCTCCAAAACATTTCTTTACATAGCCTTTGCTATGATTTCCATGAAAGATTATTGGTCCATGACAACCACATAAATTTTAAGTAAAAGTTAGTCACCAGAATGTGGTTTTCTTCCTTATTTATTTTGCAAAACAAAAAGCAAAACAGCAAGAGCTAAAGTGTCAACAGAATTGAAGGAAAACTACTACCAAGACCAAAATCATAATATGAGGGGAAGAACTAATCAAGAGTCTACACTTACGCACAAATACAAATTACTGTTCTGTGAGAAACACAAAAACCACAGCTACAAGTTATTCACTAGGATTTGATTTGCTGTTTGGTTTTACTCTCTCCTCTATCAGTTGAAACATGAGTAAACAAGTTCATTAGTTAATAAAGTACACGCCCTGAAACTGTCTCACCGAAACATTCACTTTGTCTCATTTAAAGCCCTAGATGAAGTAATCAGTCTCTTTACAATAAGTTTCTTGATAAAGGCCAATGCCAAAGCAACGTTGCAGTTAAATCATAAGGTGCCAGGATGCAGTGAATAATACAAACACAAACAGGCAATTTATATACAAGATTTATGCTACTATTTTTAGCTTCCAAGTCCTCTACATAGTGGACAATTAAGAACACTATTTCTAATATGATAAAAAATTTGATTTCAATCTATAATACCTATTTATTTTTAGATGAAAAAGTTGTAATGCCAACCTTTTAAGTCCAGAGAGGGAAGCATCTTTATGTTTTGAAGTTGTGAGGTAGCCAGTGGCACAGGAAATAACATGGGGCTGGAAGAAAATTGGATTTACCTAAGAGCTTGTCTACAGTGGCCCCTTGCTCAAGAGAGGAGGGGGTCAAGCTATTTTCCAAAGCACCTCAAGACCAGACAAGGAATAATGGATGGATACAGAACAAGGAGAGATTCAACCTGGAAATCAGGAGAAATTTTCTGACATTAAGAGCAATCAACCCATGGAACAGCTTGCCTTCAGAAGTTGTGGGAGTGTCATCACTGGAAGCTTTCAAGAAAAGACTGGACTGCTATCTGTCAGAAATGGTGTAGGGTCTCCTGCTTGGGCAGGGGGTTGGACTACATGATCTACAAGGTCCCTTCCAATTCTGTTAATCTGTTAGAATGGATCCAACTGCCCAGGATATCATGAACACAACCACCAGGCACATTTTCCTGCCAGTGTTGCTTCAACTGCTGTAGTCCGTTTGGCTGGTGTACTTGAGTTGTTCAAAGCCAACCTCATCATTTTATTGGTTGCAGCACAAAGTGCCAGGAATGAACCTCACCCTAACCGGTGGCCAACACCCCCTGTGCTATCACAGGTTACGGTGAGGGGCATTCCTGGCACTTTATGCCCCTTGAAGTTTTTTTTTTCCCTTTAAGAACTTCACAGGTGGATTACTGAAAACCCTCATACACTAATTCACTATGTTTTAAACTGTAAATGTGGCTTCCCACATGAAGCAACCAAACAAGCAGCATTCTCTGTAACGGTTACATTTTAAGTAAAATAATGACGTGGATAAAGTGTTCTCTCATATTAATTATTTTCTTATTTGGGGCTCATAAACTGTACATAAATAGTAAAAAAAAATGGGCTGTTTAACTTTGTGTCATGTGGAATTGTATCAACTTCTTTTCACTCAGGAATCAACTGAAATAGACAATTTGACCAGATATCCTGAAATATTTGCGTGCAGCTGGATGGACGTATAGATAGGTTGGCATCTGCCCAAGCCTATATTCCTTCTCTCAATGGAGGCAAGGCCAAGATGCAAGATAAATTAAATAGCATCTTATTAAAATGAATTGCCTATAAAATAATATATAAATTCTACTTATAAAAGCAATTGCTTATTTGCGTATATTATCCTGATTGGCCAGAGGCCGTATTAAAAATTCATTCATTCATATACTATTCATTTTTTCTCTCATAGAAACCATTGATGTAGATACATTCTAAACTGCCTTCCAGCAGAGAAAAACAGAGATGCATTAAAGTATAATTGGCAGAGAAGGAAAGGAGAGAGCCTTGATTTAGCCATTATAAAAAGGACTAAAATCACTAAGAAGCACATGTTCCCACAAAGCGACAGCTGATCCTGAGACAAATCCTAAAGACAACCATGTTTTTCTGCAGCAATCTTTGCAGCTGTTTACATATTTACTCATCCTCCTCTTTTCACTTTCATTTATTTGTCTATAAATCTTCTCCTTTCAACAATTCAACAACTATTTATTGGAGAATTAACTACCGGGTATTACATAGATCAGTCTGGACCAACTCCCAGAATTCCCCAACCATTTGGCACTTGCAATTCACACTTCTTACAGTCATTGAGGATAAGAAACACTGATATTGATGACTATTCACAATTGGCTATAACGTAATTCCAGCAGGGATAAAAATATTTCTGCCTTATTTTAAGTGATATCATCACCCGCACATTACTGCAAAGCATATTTCAGCATGGCACATATTTTTAAAACAAACACAAATGCTGCAACAGGTCAAATAAATATTAAATAGTTGACTTACCCATTCTTCTACATTAGGAGTTTTATCATAACCTTTTGTGTTATCCCAGAGTATACTCATTTTGCCATAGTAACCTATTTTACTTCGGGTCTTTACTGCGAAAAATATTATTATAGCCAAAGCTGCAGCAATCAGGAAGCCTAATACAATGGCAATAGCCTGGGGAAAAAAGCAATTAGTATGTTTAGACTACTGCTTTTACAACCACAAATAATCTTAAATAGAATGTCTGTCTTTTTCAAATTACAAATAAACAACATGGAATCATTATATGGTTAACTAAAAAATGAAAAATTCAAAAATATATTCAACCTGTTGTTTCCACTATATTGGGAAATTTTGATTTATACGGAAAACTAAACAAATTGGGGAAGAGCTTCATAAACATAGAAATAAGCATTATTTACATGAACGCACACAGCATGCATTATTTTAACAATAATATTTATGCAGTAAATAAATATGTCCCTCATATTTTACTGAATTCAGTCTGATGGAGCACTGAAAAAAGAATCTAATCTTCTCCATGTTTAATCTACAGTATATTTTTCCAGTCAAATACAAACATTTTGAATATAGTAATCAAAATATGTAATAAAGTTAACTTTTTTCAATAAAATTATAAACATCTTTTTAAAGATCAGATAAATTCCATATTCCCCACTCATATTGATTTGCTTACAAAGAATAAAGCTTGCACAAATGCAATATATATATATATATATCCAAAATTCTTTTCCATTTACATAATTTCCTTTGGCAATAGCATAAGTTAGTCTAATCAAATAGAAACAACTGCAGTCAATACATTTAGCAAAAGATTTTATAAATGAAGTAGAATTTTATTTAGGGAACATAGAGTTGGACTGAAAATGTACAGGTAAAAGCATATAATGGTATACACATGCAGTCAAACCATTGTTGGAACCCTCAACTTATATGATAGAATGAAGGAAGTTCTAGTTTCCACCTCATAATTTTGTAGGTTAATTCTTATCTAAACTGGGTAGATATGGAAGTAGTATTCTCCTAATGAACTACACTAGAATTTCAATAATCCCAAAGTTAATGGCAGTTATTAGGGGTGTTGTAGCCCAAAACATCAACAATGTTGATGCCAAAGCATCATCAATGTTGATGCATTGATGATGCTATCTAGTTTAGTCATAAAATGTCTGCAAGAAAACAACCAACCTTACAGAGCACCAAGATTCCCCCCAAAACATCTAGCAAGCATTGTGTCAGAATCTGTTTAGAAGGAATGAGAACCAAGATATTTCTTTCTTTCTTTTTGTTTCTCTATAGTAAGAACAAAAAAATAAAATCATACTGCTGAAAAAAATGGGTGGCTAACATTCGGTGTCCTGGACAAACCAGTGAAATCATTTCTGCATAAAACTAAGTTTTAATTCTATTTTTACTTAAAATACAACTAATATTTTGCATTGGGGATGATACTAATTTATTTACATACCTCCTGAGGTTCCACCATACAGTAGTGATATAAGTATTGATTCACGTAGAGCCCAGTAGTTGTGGATGTGTAAAACTGGCTGCACATCATATAGATCTGATTGTAGATCACTGATCCAGAAGCTTGTGCAGTTGGGTTGACTGCTAGTGTATATACGATTGCAGCAATGAACATCAAGAAGAGCAATATAGAGCTTGCTATTATCACTAAGAGATAATATTTCCTTGTCCTGGCCATCTTAGTCTTTGTAACCCCAGTTACAAAAGCCATCAATCCAGCAATAAAGCAAAAAGCTGCCATTGCAAGTATAAAGCCTTTTGCTCCTCGTGGATCAATATAATTTCCTCCAAGGCCATATGCATTATTATAGCCAAAACCACTGCTGCCCATGTATCCACCATAGCTGGTTCCAAAACCTCCATAGCCAGGTAACCCGTAACCAGTTCCTAGTCCACCTCCATACATGTCCATATCCCAAGCCAGAGTAGAAGCAACACATGCAAAGACCCCAATAGACATGACTAGTATGAGAATTGACATGATCTTGATTATTCCTGGTGGGGAGGACCATTTGTAGAAACGTTGCACTTCATCTTCCGGATAATAAGAATACGCTGGTTGAGAGTGCATAGGCTGAGAATGGAATTCACCACCAAATGTATTGTTGCTTGATAAATAGTGTGGAGGTATGCTACAAAGATTAAAAAAAAACTATTAGACACTACTTTATCAAAGCAAATAACATTAAACATCAAGTTTACTTCTTTACACTGCTCCAAAACATATTTATATATGCTACATATTCATATGTATAATCTGCCATGATCAAATACAATATGCACGTAGAAAGTCCGTAAGATTTCTTGCTGCTTCCAAAAAATGTTTATCATTAAGTAGTGTTCAGCTGCTAATGTCTGACCAAAAGATTTAATGAAGTAGGGAATTATGTGCATGTATGTAATACTCATTAAATTGTGGTGAGATGGAAGTCATTTCCATAAATGGTACTTTTTAGACATATGAGAGAAAATTAGAAAATCAGATGGAAAATATATTTTATTAACATTCATCAAATTGAGCCGTCAGTCTGGATCAGCAATTAATATTTCTTCCATTAAAATAAATACCTTGGTTAAATGAAGCTATGGTCAATTATTGTGATATTTCTATTACTGGGGAAGTACATTTTACCTCTCTTTCAGCTCAAATTTGTATTTCATTAGATTCAAAGCTCCCAAATATTTGTGTGCCTGCTGTGAAATATTCAGCTATTTTGCAAATATATAAAAGTTTTAAACAAAATGAGCAGGTGCTACAGTGTATCTTAGCTTTAGTCATAATATAATACACTAATCACTGTACATACATTTTAATAGCTTTGTCATTATAAAGAATTAAGAAATTCTGGATTAAGAAACAATGGAAAAAACTGCCAGAATCCATATTTTAATAGTGTACTTTACTTATCTATAGTAAATGAAATAAGATATTTACTATTCATCTGGACGATACGGTGGAGGACTTTCAAAAGGTTTGGGTGACATAGTGGAACTTGGGTTGTGACGTTTTTACCTATAGAAAAGATACTCCAATAAGTTATTTAATAACTGAATTGAAACAAAATGCTACCAACTATGTGAAATGCTAATTTTCAAGATTAAGTTCATGGTGCAACACAAATCTTTTAGCCAAGAATACCTGGAATGATGAATTAAATTATTAATTCTCTATATCACAATCTTCAACTATCTATTTTTAATTGTATAATTTACCCTGGTAATTCACAGGCAATTGTTTAGATTCACTGTGCAATCTTACAGAAATGCAGACACTCCTCACTCAGTGACCACAAATGAGACCAATTATTCCAACACTTCGTAAGTGAAGTGGTCTCTAAATAAAACTGAACTCATGTTCTTACTTCAACGTTCCTTTGCTTTATGCACATGCAAAGGTTGTACCATAAATGCAAGGATAGGTTGCAAGGTTATTTTCATCACCCTTGTAATGGTCACTACACAAGGCAGTTCCCTAAATGAGGTATATCCATAATTTGGAGATTAGTTCTTCTGCATTTGTTTATTTCAAACAAATATGTAGACTTCCACTGAAATATGCATCATAGATCCTGCTCCCTCAGAGCTTCTATAGTAAGTAATCTTTTTAGTCTAGATAAAAACTGCAATTTCACATTCCGAACATTTTATAAATAAGGAGGTAGCAGGAAATGTCAAAGGAGCTCCATTCATAATGCTCCTTTTATTGATGAAACAATTTTTCACTTCTTTCAAGAAAAGTAACAACCAGAAAAAAATTATATCATGCTACAAAGGCACGGTTTTTTTTTTTTTTTACTAAGGGTAACCTTAGTTCAAACCTACTGAAAAATATTCTTGCTCTCAAAGCACCTGTTGTTTTTTAATAATAAAATGTAGTAAAAACAATACAGTGCAGAATGTTTTACAACTATGAACCAGACCTAGGATGATAGTAACATATTAATTGCTATATTACATTAATTCACCAAAGTAATACCATAAATGTGTTTATTTAAACATATCTGAATAAATCAAACATAAGATTATTAAAGGAATCACATTAATGGACAGGATGGCAATATTGCAAGAAGCTGGGGTTGTTGTTATAGGAAACACAGCCTAACACTAAAGACTTCATTTTTTAGCAAATTTCCTGAAGATTTGTCTTTAGTTCTTTAAGAGCAAACTTAAAGATGTTTACAACCATAGATTGGAAAAAATAGCTCAGTGTAAAATACAAAATGACTTCATTTGCAAAGAGCAGAAAAATTCATGTACCTGCCAGATATATTTAAGTTGTAAGTTAAATTAATACTAAAGGAAAATAGGCATTAACATTACCAGAAGATGCTTTCCAATTTATCAGTAGTAGAAAACAATGGCACTTTAAAAACTGGCTATGGAATCAGTTTGTAATATACTGCCTTTATTGAATGCTTAAACTGCTATCAAGAAATTATGTAAAGTAGGTATAGGACAAAAGTTAAGATAGCATACAATTTTTGATGTTTCCTGACCAAGGCTTTCATGTGGCATAATCTTCTCAATCATAAAATGCTATGGAACAGTGTAGAACTTTTTTGTCAAGTCTAATGATATCCCACTGTTCTGGGTTTTTTTTTTCTTACACTGAAAATAAATAACAGGGAGCAGTGGAATAATTACAGAGGTGTTTATTTGCCAACTTTTAAAAACCACCTCAGTCACCTGCTAAATGCACCTATATTTGCTACAACTAAGGAGTGTAACTAGCTGGTATATGGAAACACAGTAAGTCTTGATAAATGGATATTTAACAGAAATTCTTTCCAGAGGAAAAGTAGACAGATTGAGGCTTAGAACACACATCAAGCTAAGTCAAAAATGCAGGTTGCTTGTTTGAAACGCAGCCTCCAAATTTAAAAGGTATAAAGTTGATTGTCACTCGGCATAAATATCCCCGAGGGATCCTTATCAAGGGATAAATAAATAATCCCTTGAAACTTAAGGAGAAAAAATAAAAGAGAAAACCAAGGCACATTCCACCCCCTCCCCATTTCCTGCGTTCCCTACGGCTCCCCCACCCTCCTCCGGCCACTATTGCTCAACTTTAGGAGAAGCCTGAACAAACTAGTTTGATCCAGAGAGATCAGAGCTACCCGGTTCAGAGGCCGTGGGAACGACGTACCTTTCCAAGTCCTAAAGTTAACGCGACTGCGACAGGCACAGGGACACTTATCTCATCAGAGTTTCAATTCGGAGCAAAAACAATTAGGGAAAGAATTCCTTCCGGGCTCCCCTCCGAGCGCCTCTAATGCTGCTCAGCCCTGACCACCAGCTCCGCTGAAAGGCAACCTTACTTACGTCGCCTTCACGGAGCTCCAACCACCTGTTGAGGTTTCGCACTTCTTTAAGAGACGCATCGGCTCCTTCAGCAGCACAGGCAGGCTATCTCGCGCGCGCCACACCCAAGCCCGGAGAGGGCATGCGCAATACCTACATACCTGAGCAAAGGGAGGGGAGAGGCGCCTTCGCCCCGCTCGGCTCCATTGGCCGAGCGCTTTCTTCCAGGCCAATTCGGGGGCGGGGCGCGGAGGGACCCAAGAGGCTGAGATGCGAAGAGAAGCGCCTTTGTCTCTCTGTGTGACCCAAACACCTGAAACTCGCCCGCGGGCAACCCGTAGGTTGGTCGGATGAGTCCTTCAGGGCGGGAGAGTCCCTTTAACGCAAGGAGGATTTGTTTCCAGAGATTGTTTCGCTGCCGTCCGACAGTTTCAACCACAAGCAATAGCAGCTCGCCAATAAATAATTAGACTAAGGCTCGTCCAGCGTTTTCCTCTTACTGTAGCCATCTAGATAGCTTCTTCCAAGGGGAAGCAATTTATTTTTCTGCCTGGCTTCCGTGGAGGCGAGATCTCAAAAAAAGAAGAGGCGCTCCGGGACAGCCACTTCGGCAAACTTGGTACTATATACCTTTTTGGGTGATCGAAAGTTTCAGATGGGGTTTATAGCTTATTTACTCCTTTGTAATTATCACTGGAGTCATAATGTGCAAATACGCACTGCACGCACACGCACACAAGTTTAGTTGAAAAGGAATTTTCAACTTCAGGGAGACAGCCCCCATCTCAGAATTATAAGGTGGGAGACGTGCTATGTGTTTCTCAATTTTAGCAATGTTAAGTCGTGCGGACTTTTAACTCTCAGAATTCCCCACTCAGCAAGAGAAACACTGCTATAAGAAGAAGTGCACATCAAGTGGCCTGGAGAAATGTTAGAAGTAGATGCTAGACAGACACACCAAATAATGTTACCAAACTCTGATTGTTTAGTCTGTGACAGAAGAGAAATATTTAATACATGGTTGAAGAGAGATGGTGACTAATTTTAAATATAGATGAAAGAAAAAAAATCAGGGTTGTTGTGCCATCAGTCAGTACTTTCTGGAGCTCATTTATTTATTCAACTTGTATTGCCATCCAGCATCACTCAGTGACTCTGGGTGGAGCCTAGCAATAAAACAACACAATCAAAACAAATGAATTAAAACAAACATAAGGCATGCAATAAAAACTACATTAAAACACATACCATAATAAATGTAGACACTAGCAAATCCAACCAATACATCACATTCAACACAGGCATTGTAAAAGCTGACTCTCATAGCAATGGCAAAGTCATTACCCAACTTTCAACTAGTTTCCAATTTATTTTTAGGAAAGATTGTTGAGTGAGTAGTGGCCCCTGGATGAAGTGAGCTCTTTTCAGTCAGGGTTCAGGTTGGGTTAACCACTCAAACAAGGTTAACCAGGCTTGTGGATGACAGACAGTGGTAGTCCATCTATTAAGACAGTGGTAATCCATCTGTCCTGACTCCTGGATCTCTTAGTGTCATTCAATATCATTGACGATATTATCCTGACTCTGGGCTGGGAGTGGAAGGCACCTTGATTTTCCTCCTTTGTGTCAGGTTCAAGCCAGGTTTGGGTAGTGGAGGAAAGGTCAAACCCTAGGCCCCTGGGATGTGGAGTAGCTTAGGTAGGGCTCATATATTTCGCCCCTCCTCTTTAACATCTATATGAAGCTGTTGGGAAAGCTCATCCAGTAGCATGGATGCAATATCATTAATATATTGATGATACCCAATTGTATATTTGGGTACAGCTGATCAAGCAACAGTGTCCCAGTGTTGGCCCAGTGACTGGAGGTTGTAAAGGTTTGATTTGGAGGACCAGCGTTGATTTAACGCTAGCAAAATGCAGCGGCTCTGAGTTTTGATCCTCCTGGATCCGGTGAGGTATCATCTGACTCTTGCTAGGATTGCAGCTATGGGTAGGGGGGGCAGATTCACACAGATTTATCTTGTGCATAGTTCCTATTACTAGCCAAGAGGCCTTTCTCATAGTCACTCACACCCTAATCATTTCTTGGTGGAATCATTGTAATATGTTTGACAGAGGGTTTCCCATGAAGACATGTGGAAATTGCAACTGGTCTACAGTGCAGTGGTGCAGACGCTTTTGGGTAACGCATAGTTTGTCCATGTTATACAGTTGCTACACAGGCTTCTAGTTTTTCCAGGTGTAACTCAAGATTCTGATATCATTTTTAAAGCCCTGAGTGGCACAGGAACAGATTGTTTGTGAAACGCCTCTCCCTGAGGATATCTGCCACTGTACCAAGTCCAATAGGGTGGCCGCACCCAGGTCCTTTCCCTTAAATGTTATCATACCATCACTAGCAGCCCTTGCCTTTTGAAATACCTTCCCTCTGAAATCTGGCAGGTCCTTACCCTCCTAGCCTTCTGGAAAGCCTTGGCTTGAAGACCTGGCTCTTTCTACCAACACATTGGAATAACGAAGTGTTGTTTTGTGCTTTTTATTGTCTTATTATTTATAAACTGCCCAATATTATGGTAAATGATGGCCAGTTATATAAATATTTTAAACCAATCAAATTTGGGCCAAATCAGGGACCCCTTACAGTATTCAATATCATCCTGGGCCATGGATTGAGAACTGTTCTTTTAAGGAGCATTTGAAATGTTGGAATATATACCCTTGGGAACTTTTAACACTGTTCAAGCTTCAGAGTAGTAACAGGGCTGTGTGGCATTTTTCTATTCCAAAAAAGGCACCTCAAAATATATGAGGGTAGCTGTGTGGTCCCAGGAAAAGAGGTAGCTTCTATTAAAAGTTCTAAGGAGATTTTTCATTCAAACTTCCATTTGCTCCAAAGCATCTTATAGTATTTGTTTATACTTAAATGTAACTTGCTATACTGCCTGCCAATTGTTGAATAGTCTCAGCCATTTATAATGGAAAAGATAAAATGACAAGTAACAACAAATAGCAGGTGAAATTAAGAATCAACTCTTCAAATTAGCAGTTGAAAGTCTGTACAAAAATATGTGTTTTGAAGATTTAAAAAAACTCATAAAGATCTTAGGTCCTTCAGGAATTCAGTCATTAGGAATTTTAGCAATAGACAAAACCTGTAAATGCACAGATTTTGTAGACATGCATTCCAAACAGCTTGGATGGCAACAAAGAAAGCTTGTTCACCAGTTGTTACAATGGCAATTCTCAGTAAGCATAGAAGTGCATATAGAAAACTCTGTTCTCCCAAATAATCTGGATCTAAGGAATGTAGCATGTTCAAGATAATTTATTGCACTTTGTATTTTGCCCAGAATTGGCAAATAAATTTGGCCTTGAATGCAAAGCCTTCCGCATTCATACTAATTACCTGCTTTGCCCACAAGGCAGGCACAATCTGGTGAACTGCATAGCAACAGATCTATTTTCCGATTTCAGTGTAGCAACTTTCTGAATTTCAGAGATACTTCTTACACTGCAGCATACATACAACCATGATATCATGACACCATTAGAGCCATTATTGGATCTAATTACATAATATTTCCACCCAATGAGATAAAAATACAATACTGGCAATTAGAAAATTATTTTCTGGAGGATATTGACATCTGAAAAAATGAGCCAGTTTGGTGTGGTACAGTGCTTTTCAAACTTGGTAGCTTTTAATATATATGAACTTCCAACTCCCAGAATTCTCCAGTCAGCATGCTTGCTCTATCCCTTCTGTGATTCATTTATTAAAAATGATGAATTAAAGAGATTGATATATCCCAATCATTATAGATAGGTTCAGGTTGCTGTTCTTCTACAGCATTTAAATCTTTTCTTTTCACTTCACATTCCACTGCCTTGCAATGGAATAATGTCCCAAGTATCTTTCTCTGAACCAATTATCTTGAAAAAACAGATGTCAAGCATTTAAATGAGTTGCTAACACAAAGATTAACATTTGGCAAATGACAGAATATAATATAAAGCAGTTTGCTGCCTCGGGATACAAACCTCAAACACATGGAGGTTTGATTAATACTTAATTTAGTGGTGATGGTTAGAATATAATCACTTCAAAACACTTTCAGCTTTTGAATTTTAAACACAGTGTGGTAGGATCAGTTTGCAAAAGTAAGAAGCTGAATGCATAATAATAAACTATTGCAGAATGCAATTACCATTTATGATTGCCCATATTTGGTAAAGCACTACACATACCTGCTGCCTTGCCTAAATTCACGTACTTATATGCAGTAAAAAATGAGAGGCAAAAGATTGAGACAAATCACACTACATATGAAATCATTCTGATCCGCTAAACAGAATACATCTTACAACTATTCTGAAGCATTAAGGGAATGGGAGTGGGAGGCCTTGCACTGTCTTAGTTCACTTCCTTCCTCTGCGGCCCCTCTCAGTCAGTGTTGATAGGAAGGGAGAGATCCAACCCTCACTCACTGCTTTACAGGGTTCCACAGGGCTCGGTACTCTCTCCGCTCCTGTTTATATGAAACCGCTGGATGAGATCATCCGTCACCATGGACTGAGTATCACCAATATGCTGATGATACTCAGCTGTATGTCTTGGCCCGTGGTGAGTTAAGTGTTGCTGTGTCCTCCCTCTCACAATGCCTGGAGGCTGTTAGGGACTGGATGGGGAGCAACAGGTTGAAACTAAACCCATGCAAGACCGAGTGGCTTTGGGTCTGGGGTTCGTTGGTTCAGAGAGAATTACCACCTTTAGTCTTGGATGGGGTGGCACTACCCCAAACAGACCCTGTGCGTAATCTGGGGGTTCTCCTGGACTCACGACTCCTGTTCGAAGAGCAGGTGGTGGTTGTGGCCAGGAGGGCCTTTGCGCAACTGCAGGTTGTGCACCAGTTACACCCTTTCCTGGATCAGTGGTCCCTACTCACAGTCACTCATGCCCTGGTCACTTCCCGTCTTGATTATTGCAACACGCTGTACATGGGGCTGCCCTTGAAGAGCATCTGGAAGCTCCAGTTGGTGCAAAATGCAGCGGCCGGCATGGTTTTGTGCAGACCTCCGGAGTGCACATGTATCACCTCTCCTGCAGGAGCTGCATTGGCTGCCAATTTGCTTCCAGGTGCAATTCAAGGTGCTGGTTTAAAGCCCTTCATGGCTTGGGTCTGGGTTATCTAAGGAAACATCTCTTGCCAGTGACATCTACCCGACCCATTAGAGCGAGGAGGCAGGGAATGCTGCAAGTCCCACCACTGGTGGGACCTAGAAGGGCCTTCTCTATGGTGGCTCCATTTCTCTGGAACATCATTCCCTCTGATTAGAATGCCCCCTCATTAATACTATTCCGAAAGGCACTGGTTTTGCCAGTGGGCTGGGGAACCCAGAAAGGGATGGAACCCATCAAATGGCTAGTTTGACCCGCTGTCGTCGGGATGGGGGGGTAAGAGTTGGGGTTTTTTCCCCCCAAAATTTTGTTCTATTGTACTTTACTAATTTATTTCTTTTTGTTGTTTTTATTTTTATTTGTTGTTTGAAATGATTTTACATTGTGTAAGCCACCTTGAGTCACCATGGGTGAATAGGCGGTAATATAAATCAAATAAATAAATAAACAACATTCTGTAGCTTTCTTAAGTATGTTACCCAAATTGGAGCACCTGTCACTTCAACTGCATAACCAGAATGAGATTTTATGTGAAAAATACTCAGTGACTGCATTTACACAATGTGTTACGGCAGTATGTGGCTTGCTCCCTGTCAGCTTCCCAGGTCAATGGAGAAAATGGGAGGAAATTGGAAATTCCATGCTGACAGGCAGATGAATGATTGCTACAGGGTGGGAGAGGGAGTATGGGTGTGTTTGGCAGTGCAGGAGAGGTGCCACGTAGGAAGCAGGAAAGATGCACAGCTTGTAAGCAGGTGTGCAAGAGTGCAAGGGCAAGGATCAGGTGCATAAAGGTGTGGCATCAGTTGGTATGTATGTATATGTGAGGGAACACAAGAGGGACAGTAGTTAGGAAGGGTGTGAGAGATGTTGCGTCGCTTGGTGGGGCACAAAAGGTGCCATACACATTGGGGAGGGTGTACAAGGGAGTGAAAGTATGTGAGAGAGGCACTGTACAGGTGAGAGAAGTTTCATGGAAGAACAGATAGATGGATGAGAGCGACATGACTTGGATCAGGGAGGATGTGTGAGGCTGCCCAAGTGGTAGGTAAGTAAATATGTCTGAAAGGATGACACAACAGGTCATGGATTGTTTAGTATATGTTTTATTCATTATTTTATGAAAATATACAGTTCAGTATTTCAGAAGGTTTGTTATGACTTAATACTATAAAAAAACCAAAGGAAAGTGACTTGCATTGTAGTGCATATTATTTGAAAAATGATCTTTTTCCTTTTCTATGTTTAACGTCTTTCTTTTCTTGAATTTTTTGCTTTATTTTTTTCTTCCTTACCTAGCTATATTTGTTAGTTTTTATCTTCTTGTTTAACAGTTTTAATAAAACATTATATTCTAAAAGGAGATTGTTTTGAAGTAGAGTATTCCAGAGTAGAAATTCACTACAACGTGCTAAGGTTCTTCTGTAAAAAAATGTGATATACTGTAATATAGAAATGTAGAAAGATATATGAACTTCCCACCTGACTTATAAAAAGATAAGTTTGTGGAATTTCTATTTTCCAAGAACTGTATTAAAAAACTATGCCATTTAATGCCCTGAATAATTTTTCTGCACCTGCCATTCCAATCAACATTTTAAGTAGCTATTTAGAAAAAGTCAGCTATAATCACTCCTCCAATCTGAATTTAAGAGGTGAGATTAGTTGACAATTCAATGATATATACATGACAACGCTATCTTTCAACAGAAAAGTAGGATTCAGTATCAGTCTGAAAATATTTTAGTTGAATGCTGCTTTTCTTCGATAGTATTACATTGTCTTTTAACGCTTACTTTCCTAATGATATTCTCCCACACAAAGCTAATAACTTTCTCTGAGAAAGATTGCACTGTATGCTCAAAATGCATTACCTGTAAGTTACAGTTGGGATAGATCGGGGTGTCAAACTCACATTGTCATGGCAGTGTCATGTGACATATCGGGACTTTTTTCCCCTTCGCTAAATTGGGCATGGGCATGGCCAGCATGTGACGTATCCGGCCCATGGGCCGGGATTTTTACAGCCCTGGGATAGATTTCCAATAAAATGACAGGTATCTAAACACTTAGATTTACGTCCCTTTCTACATCACACTCTATTTTAAAAGAATGATATTTATCCCAGAACTTGTTTCCACCTCCATATGGTCCAGCAAGAAAACATGAAGTAACTACCCCTCCAACAAAAAGATTATACGTTGCTTAATTGAGATATTTTCAATTGCTACAGCCCTGTCAGATGGAAACTCATATACCTATTTTGTTGCAAAACAGATGCAGGTAACAAAAATACAACTCCAATTTTTGCTTAGAATGTCAAGGTTTACAAATATTAAACTTTAAAAATTATTTAATTTTAAAATGTGTGGCTGTCCAAAGGAAATGCTGAGTACATTTGCTGAACAAGATGATTGTACTCTATAGAAAGTTAACTTTGTTCTATAACTAAAATATTTATTAGTTCATATAAAGATGTATTTACTCAGACCAAAAAATAAGGGGGAAAAAAGAATCTGTTAATGCAAAATAGAACTCAATCCAATATTCCATGGATGTGAATCTTTCTCCTAAACACAAACTCTGCAACATTTCACTAGGAATTGTTAAAAGAGAATTAAGAACTTGCGTTCCTAGAGCTGAAATCACCAAACACATGGCTGAGTTGTGGAGAACCTGAATCCAAGTTCCTGCCTGCCAAAGGAGGAAATGGCTAGAATCTGGTTCCTTGTCCCTCCAAGTAGGTCATTATACATAGTTAAGTGGCATATAAAGCAATTTTTAATACATATGGATCTCTGAAAAACCACATTCATGTAACTAAGCTATTCATGAAATTAAGGCAGTCATACCTGTTTACAGTATAGTCACATTTAGGAAAATATCTCAGTGATAGAAATACAAATATTTTGAATTTAAAAAGTAAAAAGATATAAATTTTATCTGTTATTTTAGAATAGGATCAACAGTGCACTTAACTACATTCTTAGAAAGTTTTCCACCTTACAGTGGATAAATCTTTTCCTTAGTTCACAATATACACACTAGATTTTAGTTACTAATTTTACAAGAAAAATATACAATAGTGGCAATAAATATTTTAAAATGGTAAAAAAATCTTGTTGGTAAAATTAAAGTCATTCTAAGTATTCCAATTGATAATTTTGTCATATTCCTGAATTCTTTGTTTTATGTGAGAAAGTTTGTTTTTTAGATATTCACATCGTTCTTTCTTCTCCTGAAATGTGGGATCCTGAAATACAAACGATTCAGTAAGTAAAATTACAACGTTCATCCCTTTGGGTTAGCTGGATAAGTAATAAAATATATGATTTACAACCACAATTTAGGCCAAGATTTCTGTTGTTAAATGAGACAATTGTTAAGTGAGTTGTGCCCCATTTTGCCACAATTGTTCAGTAAATCACTGCAGTTGTTAGTAACATAACTGTTAAGTGAATCTGGCTTCCCAATTGTCTTTGCCTGCCAGAAGTTCTCAAAAAGTGATCACATGACCCAGAACACAGCTACATATGAACCAGTTGCCAAGCATTCAAATTTTGATCACACGTTTTTTTCAATGTTACTGTAATTTCGAATAGTCACTGAGTGAATGGCTGTAAGTGGAGGACTACCTGCATTTGGAATGTTGTAAGCAGTACATTTAATTGAATGAAATTAGTATTTCTGTAGCCTGAATAAAAGATGAATGAAAATAAAATCTAAGGAAAACTTTATTCTGGAGAATAAATTATCTTAGGAATTTATCCTTAATAGTTCTTTCTTACCTTTGATGTCCATACACAAAGTATATTATATAATTTTATGCATATCAAATCCCTATCTTATTGGGAGAACACTTGATACATAGGAAATCCTTGGCTCAAATATGAAATCCTGGCAGTCACTGTAGAAAATTCTTAAAATATACAGTGATTTGGTTTGATATAAACACCTCAGGCATGGCAGAGCAGCCAAGCTGTTATTGGATCTGATGCTGAAATCCAGTCTCCATTTATCAGTAAATGGAGTAAAAACTAATCATTCCACTGATTTCAGTATGAGAGAACACAGGAATCTATAAAATCCATTTTACATTGAATAGGACAATGAATCCATCCGGTACAGTATAAACAATAGAATTACAGACAGGCATTTTTTTCAAACTTCTTTCAAGATGTCAAGAACTTAATTTAGGAACTTCCTCATTCTAGATATGGTTTTACACCAGACTAGGGACATATGCAGATTAGCTCAGGCAAGATTAGAAGCAAAAGGACTCAGAGCAGACTGATCTGTTGCAATAGCAATGAACAGAGCAATTGTCCTTCCTGATGAGAAGCAAGAAGTTCTTAGCATGTAAGATGCACATTTGGTAGAAAGATTCATAAGATTTGCATGTGTTGTGTATATATATGTGTGTGTGTGTGTGTATAACCACATTCACACACACACACACACACATTGGGTTTTAATCTTATAGTCTGTCATTGCTGATTTCCTTTGCAATAATGGTTCTTTTAATATCAGCAAACTGGTGTAAATCCTAAAAGCTCATAGATCCCTGGTGGTGTTTTTATTATTGCTCTGGACTGATGTAAGCTATAAGTCAATGACAACAATGAATATATAAATAAGACAATACTCACATTCTTTTTCTTTTTATACTGTTGGAGAACATTGGCGATTCTATCGTGTTCCTAATAAAGAAAAAAATATAAAATATCAATATGTTTCATTTACTTATTAAACTTATAATATTCTATATAACTGTTTTATTTTCTATTTTGTACAATTTTTTTCTATTACGTTTATTTGTCAACTTAACATTGCTACCTTCTGACACCATAATGACTATGGGTAGTACACAATATTATAAACAATCAAAACCTTTGTAACCAACAAAAAAGAACGGTAGATTCCCCAGAAAGAGCAATATAACCTCTCCCTGTTTAGCAATTGCAGTTCCTTCCTTAAATTGGAAGCAAAATGGTCATTAAGAGAACATGACAGAAAGAGGCTGCAAAGATTATTAGTTGCTGCTGTCTCATTTAGATAAAGTTCTCTCATAATAATCACGCAAGCCTTTACTTATTCCAATGTGCATGGTTTGTTTGTAAGTGCTCGCACTGGTTGGAAAATTACTTTTTAAAAAAATTACTGTCATATTCATGAAAAGTTACTAAATAAGATAGCTACTTGAAGAGGAGTATAGCAATAACTCAATTCCACATGTGTTTTATTCTAACATATGTAAGTTGTTCATGGCAAAGTTTGAATGTCACCATAAAGAGATCATTTGCTTGTTGGATCAACTTTGGTAAGAATTGCATAACTTCCGAGCTCTGTTAGAAGCTGGTGCCCCTGACAGATGCACCTGTATTACAAATACCAAGAAAGTAGACCAGGTAATATAGTGATTGGTAGTTCCAATCATTCTATTGTTAGATAATAGTGTAAAGTTGTATAACAAGATCTTTTTTTGTGTCATAAATAACAAGTAATGGACCTTAGTAAGAAATATAAAATATGCATGACTTCCAAAAATGAAGGGATTATCATGATTAGATCACTGATCAGGTAGCTTATAGTTCAATATTTGCTTATAAATACAAACTTTTGATTCATACTTACGAGAGTATTTCCAGAATGCTGAGGAAGCTTCCTCATAAGTGCATCTAACTCATCAAACTTCTTCAAAACTGCCTGAACTTCGGAAGACAGTTCTTTATATTCAGAAAACTGATCATTAAACACAGCTTTATAACGGTCTCTTTCCTCATTTGTCCGAATTGCTGGGTATTTTCTATAAGCAATAAGATTCCAATCAGTGCTATGTCAACAATTCAGTAAATTGTAAATGTGTGTATTCTATAGAATACGGAAAATTTAACTTTAAAATGTGTAACATGAAAAATTCTTTACAGTTTATTAAAAATTGCATCAATAAGACAAGTATCATTGTTTTCCTTGGCATATAATATTTGGATTGCAAAAACCAGGACAATCACTTATCTGGAAAACATTTGGTGGAATAGACTGAATCAGATATTTTAAACATTCCAATAAGTTCATGGATTTACACATCACATGATTAAAGTATGAACTGACAAAGTGACCATTGGTTAAACCCTAAGATATTTACCAAGCAATAGCTGAGTTCACATAAAGACTATGACAAATCTAAACAAGCCACATTACAGTTTAATGTTTGACTCCATAGCTTAATAAAAATTAAAAATGAAAAGTTTACCTCTCTATTTTAAAACAAATTAGGAAATCTTCTTCCAAACTGTAGCATTACAGCTTAAGCAGCAAACTTTAAGAAAAGAGCCAGTTTGGTCTAGTGGTTAAAGCAAAAGGCTTAGGAGACTCTGAGTTCTAGTCCTGCCTCAACCATGAAAATCAGCTGGGTGACCTTGTGCCAGTCACTCATTCTCAGCCCAACTCACCTCACAGTTGTTGTTGTGGGAAAATAGGATGATAAGGATGTGTTGCATATGTACCCCACTACTGAGTTATTTGTAAAAATAAAGGTGGCAAATAAACGTAAATAAATAACAGACTAACCTTCACAATGAACTACACTTGTTGATTTATATATTACATTTTAAAATCTTATAACGTGCCTTATTTGTTTTTAGTTTATTATTGGAATCAAGCCACTGTTGTTTGTAAATTGTGGTTTAGGGCTTAATGTAATGGTGATCTTAAATGCTAGTTTGCATATTAAAAATACATATACTTACGCTAAGTAATCTGGCATCACTATTGGTTTAGGGATATGTCCGGCTGGTATATAGCCATTAAGTACTTCAGGTTTCATTTCTGTACCCTTCAATGTCTTTATTGCTACCTTGGATGTGTGATTTTCATGATCTTCATACTATGTAAAAAGAATTTTTAACAGTTTTACTTTTGCACAAGTTTGTATGAAGTAAGTAAAAGTTCAATTCTCTCGTGCTAGTTTGTTGAAATGAACAATTGTGTTAGATACTCTCTGAATTCATTTGGACAGGAAATTTTGCAGCCAAAATAGTACCACTGGCATCTTGTATAATACTGTTGTTACAGAGGCTTAAGGTACTACCTAGTGCCCTACCTCAAACCATCCCATTTGAATGACTTGGGAAAGAAGTTATACTTAAACTTTTGAAAACTTTCACATTGCCTCTTAAAACCCATAAAAAGAGCAAATCTTTCATGCTTTTCCATTGGGTTTTGCAGGTGGCAATATCTGCAAGATACTGCTATAAAAATTCATCAGGGATGAATTCATCAGAAATCATTTACTGGAAAATAAGGTGTTGTTAGTAGTAGAACACCAAATCAACATTTGTGAATTTTCACTAAAACATTTTTTTTCTTTGCAAGAATTAATATTTTTTCATGTCTTTTTGAAACAGACACTTTTGTGAGGTAACTCAAATTCAGTAACTACAAAGTAAATAGAACATATGCAGTTCTGGTTCTTACCATTCTCTTTGGAGCAAATGATTGTGACTTCATCTAATAAAAGAAACAGAAATAACAATATTAAATGTATACATTCAGATTGTAACTGCTGATAATGCTAGTGTGCAAATTCATTTCATTTTGTATTGACAGAATATAGATTGTAGTGGTTTGTATAACTTTATTAACCTGTGCAGAGAATTGGTATGAAAGCAAATTATCTTCCACAAACAGACTTTTGAAATGTTAACTGTTTCCTTTTTATCTATTATTAAATTTATTTGCTGCCCATCTCGAGGATCGAGGCTACCCTGAGTGGTTTTATTGTTGCTTTAATGCATTTTTTGTTTTAACTACAACATTTCTATCTTTTATTTTTATTATTCAGTGCTGCTGATAGAATAAGAAGTGTTTATGTAGGAGCTTTACCTACATAGGAATTGAGGAACCTGACATAATAATTAAATGCTTCTACACTGAAATTAAAATGGTTGAAAATCTTTTGATAGCAAGACTATGGATATCACTAGAAAGCAATTCAAGAAAAAAAAACAGGTTGTGATACACTATATAAAAACTCACATAGCCTAATCAATAGATATGGCTTATGTTTATAGTTCTATTTTAAAACATCTTTGGTTTCAACTACAACTCTTGGCTAAGAACTCATATACAAAGCAACAATGGCAAGTTTACTAGAAAAATCCAGTTACTTATCTACTTGTTTCTGAAGATACTTATATTTTGCTTTCATCTACCAATACAGAAAATGCAATTTTTTTAATTTTGCAGATTACCCAAAAATAAAATTTGAAGAACTGTTGTGGGAAGAATTACAGAGTAAATCTTTTCTGCCTTTCCCTAAATCCATGCATTACAAAAAATAGCTTTTCACCCATTTATTGAAACTTTTCTAGGGATCTGCAATTGGAAAAGTTCTTTAACTTTCTAAAATTTCTATTTCTCCCTAGCAGTCTTTGGTACAATTTTTTTCTGAATCTTAAGAGAAAAAAAATTAAGGAAATAATCTTTATGGAAGCAATATATTCCATCATTCATTTTGATTAGAAGCACACATATTACTTGAAACTTACCCGCTCTTCCATGAACTCTCTGTGTCTCCGTGCAGTTTCATGTCTCCATAATTTTAGGCAAACCATTGCACCAATGAGATATATAATCATTGTTACAAACAAAAAAATAATTCCTGCTGTCTGTCCACCTTCTATACGGCAAAAAGCAGCATTCAGTGGTGTGTTAAATAATGAATATGAGCAAAGTCCTCCTCTGTTTGCATCATTTACATAGACAATAGCAGCTGACATATATAAAATAAACAAGGCCACATTGATTCCAAATTCAGTTAAAGGCCACCAGTGGGAATCCAGAAGAATAGTTCTGTAGTACATTGACATACCAAGTACTAGAAGTATGATAGTCACTATCCAAACAAGTGCTGCTACAACAAGAACAAAAGGAGTTTTGGGTCCACTGTAATAATAACCACCATACATGCTGTTTCCACCATAGCCATATGGTTGTGAAAAGCCATACATGTTGTACCACTCATTGTCTTTGTGAATGTAAGCTGTGACACAGGCAAATACAGCTGCACCTAAGAGCAGTTCAACAACAGCCAAGATTCTAAGCAATCCTGCCCAAGATTTCATGTAGGAATATCTCAGGTTAAAAGCTTCTACTTTCTCACTGTATGTCAGAGCCTGAGTGTGCCTTCCCAGAGAGCCGTATGGATCTGAGGGGAGAATACCTTCAGCTTCTTTTTGTGAATTGTAAGTCCCTCCTGAACCTCCATATGGATCTTGATAAGAGCTTGGTGTTGAAATATGCTCTGCTTTCACTGGAGTAAGTGTTGGAGATGATGGTGGAGAACATTGAGTTCCATCTGAAATGGCAGATACTGGCTTATTCCATTCTGGATCACCTCTTTTACCTCTGAAGAAGTTTTTCCATGAATCAGGAATGAATTTTCTCACTGGTTTGAGATCAGGCATTTCAGCCGACTCTTCATTGTCACTTGGATAAAATTCAGGTCCAAATGGTGGCTGTAATGGAAGAGGCGGAGGCAAAGGTTCTGAATTTAATATCTCCTCAACATCTTCTGGGGAAGAGGAATCCACATATACTTTATCATAATGGACAGAACGACTTTGCTGCCCACTTCTGTGCTCCAGTGATGTATTCCTTGAAGACATTTGTGAACTTTTCCCCTGTTTCAGAAATAATAATTTTTAAAAGCCCTGAAAATTAGGGGACAAATAGTTCAAGTAAAGTCTTAAAAAAAGAAAGCCAACTAAATTTCTGCACTCAAAGACAGGGAAAAAAAAAAGCTAACATGCCATCATTGAGCTATAAATCCTCTTCCATAGTAAGGCAGTTCAGAACTGCCAAGTCACTCTAGCTTTGATATTGGGTTTATCATAATTTAATGCTTGAAACTTTTCCAGAGTCCATGAAACCACAACAGTAAAGAAGGCAGAGAGCTTAATGCCTCATGTACAAGTTCAAAGTCCACCACACTGTGATACTTGGATAGTTTGAGAGAATCCAAAATATATAAAAAGGAAAAAGCAACACAGTGGCCATAATTTAGAAAAGAAAACAATGTCCACAAGCTCTAATTCCCTTATATTCCAGTGATTTTCAGTGTGGGCTATGTCTCACCCTCCCCAGACATCATGGCATATTTTTAAAAGTTCACCGTCTTTACATGATGCAGTTTAGATTAATAAACTGTGTGGATAAAAACTCAAACTGAACTTTTTTTTTTCCAGCTAACGATTGGATTAACTAGCAACTCTGAAGGATTTATAGAGAGATAAATAAGCCAAAAAAAAAAAAAAAATTAAGAAAACCTACCCTTATATACAGGTTGTTGAACGAAGTTTGTGCTGCCTAGAGAGAGATAGGACAAGGGGAAAAGACTGGAGATATCCCCCCCACCACACACGTATCTACTACTTTCCAGCATCAAAGTGCACTTCTACAACCTTAGACCTACATTTCCCATTAAACTTAGCGGGCCTTCCTTCCAAGGAAATATCCACAGGATGTCACCAGAAGCGTCCGAGAAACACGAATTTCCACCCAATTCCGCACTGCTTCCCATTCCCCCCTCCTTTGGTTCCCCGCAAATCGCGCGACTTGCATTTACTGCCGCTACCACACCTTGAGCCCGCTCCGCCCTCACCCCCAAAGCTCCGAGCGGGATAAAAAGCGGCGCCTTTCTGCCCGCGACCCCGCCAGCTCCGTGGCTGGGACCGGATTTACCTCCAACCCCCTCCTCCCCACAATAAAATGCCCCACTCACTCTTTCAGACGAAAAGGGCGGGCAAAAATATATCCCGCTACGGCCAGAGGCGCAACGGCCAGAAGAACAATCCCGTTTCCGTCTCCCTTTCCCGGAGGCGTTACTTTCGGGGGCGTCTTGGCCTCAACCCATTGTCCCGCCCATCTGGTCATGCGCGAAGTCCTTCGGGCTGCAAACACTGCCCTGCCTACCTGTCTACCTCGCTCGCTCGCTCCAGGTAGGCCTGGGTAGGGCGACAGGTCGCTTGCTTCCGCTTTCTGCGCTGCACACCCCGTGTCATCCTCCCGTCCCCTCCAAGTCGCAATCGGTTTTGTGATTTTACACCGCGGGGAACGAATCTCCCATTTCTGTTTCAAAAGACGTCGTCCAAGTTTCAAAAGCGCGGGGAAAAAACCCTCGACTATTAGGGCAGGACAGCTTACTGGACAAATGTGGATAAAAACTTGGGTTACTACCGGCCAGAAATAATTAGCAGTTAAGAAAGCAGTGGAATATACGTTTTAATTAGACGTTTTAGGGAAAAAGAGGATAAAACACATTTTTTTTAAAAAAAGTTCTAATAAGTAAACCAAGACAATGTCAAGATATTAATTTTCCCAATCTATCATTATTTATGAATTATAGCTTGTTATATCTCTTATTTAAAAGACTAAAATTATCAACTTTTGAACCAATGAGCTGTTTTGAGGCTAATTATTGGTGCAAACCAGTAGTGTCACAGAAAAAACAAGGCATTTTTTCAATCAAAGTGTCAAGTTAAAGTAAGCTGGCTGTCTTCAGTGCGTGGACACAGATACACGCTGTGATTTGCCTACTTTTTTTGTCTGGTGCCGTACCATCTCTGCTGCATCACTTGCAGTTCACTTTATGCAGCAGAGAGCTTTGCCAAAAGCTAAATTGGAGTAAAACGCCCTATTGAGGCATTGCATAGACCCAGCAGTCAGTCATAAAATACATGTTTTGCCTGGAGCAAATTGGTAAAATTTAGGCAATCAGTGGATCTGAAAGTAATAGATTACAGCTGAGCTCTTGGTACTTTCCTTCATGCATTGTGAAGTTGTGTCAATGTCAGCTGGACATCAGGACCACAGCTGATTAAACTGATTTATTGTTCATGCCTATGCATAGAAATTTCCTCAACTAATGGTTAGTTGGTGCAAGATAAGGATTAATGGAATTGGGGGGAGAGGGGTTGGACTTAATCTGTTGTGGCTATGTAGAGATTTTAGGCTGATTCTTCTTTTGACTCCACTTCCAGGTTCTGCCATTCTTTCTCCTACAGTTAGTCTATGGTAGCAACAAACTCAGATGTCTACTTTGCTCCCACATCTATATCATCGTCATTACCACAGGCCTAACAAATACATAAACAATATTACAGCATCTTCAATGTTCTTCAATCAATTGAAAAAGAAAGCCCAGGGAAAAACCTGTGAGATCTTATAGGAAATTAAAAGTAAAGAAAAAGAATTAAATCACCTGCAAAGATAAATGTTCTAAATCAAATTAAACTTCTTCAGCAATTATCTATGTACAGTTGAAAAACTAAAAAATTGAAACAACTTAAAAAGAACTTTAAACCTACTAATAAACTAGGAGGGTGGTTGGCTTATAAATTAAAAAAAGAGATATGATTTTGAAATTTCAGGAAGATGATAGTGGTAACAGACAACTCGGCAATACAAAAAAAAAACCCATCCACATTACTCCCATCTGTATAAAAGATCTGACATCTCTTTGGAAAAAAATACAAAAGCAGAACTTGCCATGCCTTACAAACATGCAAAATCAACTTATGAATGGACCAACCACAATGATAGAAATCTCAGAAGTTATAAAAAAAAATCAAATTAGGGAAAATAGCTATCTTGCTGACACCAGGGCTGAAATGACGTTTTATGGATATGGATCTATCTATCTATCTATCTATCTATCTATCTATCTATCTATCTATCTATCTATCTATCTATCTATCTATCTATATAAATATATAAATATAAATATAATGAAATAATTGGTTATAAATTAAGAAATGAAGTTATTTATACATGTGATGAAGATTGGAAGTTCTTTATACAAGTCTTTATAAAACCCAAGGTGGTACAGTGGTTAGAATGCAGTACTGCAGGCTACTTCTGCTGATTGCTGGCTGCCAGCAGTTCGGCAGTTCAATTCTCACTGGCTCAAGGTTAACTCAGCCTTCCATCCTTCTGAGGTTGGAAAAATGAGGACCCTGATTGTTGGAGGCAATATGCTGACTCTGCAAACCACTTAGAGAGGGCTATAAAACACTGTGAAGTGATATGTAAGTCTAAAGGCTATTGCTGTATGTTTATTTTTTATTTCTTTACTATCCTTCCTTCCTCTTCTTTCTTTGATTAATAATCTAATAAATTATATTATTTTTACTATTGAACTTCTAATATTTAATACAATTATGAAAAATAACTTATCAGTAAAAATGAATGATTTGAAAATAAAGTTCAAGAATTAACTTAACAAAATACGAAAAATTATCATGTTATTGTCCTAGATCAGTGTTAACAATACTTTTCAAGTTAGAATTGTCCAAAATATATGTAAACATTGTTTCAGAAACCATAATGATACAATTTATTAATAAGGCACCCAGAGACTTATTTACATATTAAATATTATACAGCCCAGGTTAAACACTTTGTGCAATGTTTCATCATCACAACTTAGATCTAAACTTGTGAAACAGTAACAAAATAGTTGACAATGCCTTCAATATCTACAAGATAAATACAAGTATAAAATATCAAAGTAAATATATTTCTTCTCATTTATTTCCCTTATTCTGTATGGATGAGAAGCGAAACCTTGAGTTTTAACTGAAGCTCTTCAGTATATGGTAGGCTTAAAAATATAAAGACTCTGTACTCATTTTCCTCCATATTAATTATTATTCATGACAAATGTTAACAGCTTGCTGAAATAACAAAGCTTTTTATCTTTCCTGTACATCTGGATATAAAATATGAAACAAAAGTAAAATTATAATTTAAATATTATCACAGCTTTGGAATTGCTATTTGTTATTCACTGTCATATTCTTCTATATTTAAGTCATCTGCTTCCATTATTGCTTGTGCTGCAACTGGCTGAGGTTGACTGGCTGGTAGTTCATTTTCATTACACTGACTAGAAGTAGGAAGGAATTCATCCAGTTCATTTTCCTCACTGTTTTTTATTTTCTCCCCCTGGACATGCAGAATTGTAGGCTGCTTCTCAGAAAACTCCTCTTCGTCATCATTGTCCAGGATTTGTATTTCAGAATCCTTATCAGTAAGAGTTTCAAGTTTCAACCTGCAAACAGCAATGCAACAGCAATTTATTCTTCTTTGGAGTGAACTAAGACACCCAATTCTCTCATAATAATTTTCTCTATCACGCTGGATGTTTGGACAAAAAAGGCACTCTAGTCACTACTTAGTACTCAGACAATTCATTTTATTAGGGTTTTAGCAACTAATTGTTACAAGCTGTATTTTCTCAGGGAATAGTAGAGTAGGGCAGAGTGCTAAGAAAATTACAACCTTGGTATCTGTTCTGCTGTCTATACTTCTCTGTGTAAATAAATGAAAGTCAAGAGTTACTAGTATATTTTCCTCCTTCTACCAGGCAATTCTTTCTGCCAATTAGTTCAATCACTTGTGTGTGCCAGCAACTTGTGATATGAAATGGCAGAGTCTTTTGAGCTTCAACCATGTTTACATTCCAAGCCAGTGTAAGGGAAGTTGGTATTTCCTATTCCACTTCCTTTAAAAAAAACCTAAAGAAAAAAAAGCTCTCCCATTGGGCCCATCTATGTCAGAATCAGTGTATAGTTTGCAAGAGAGTCATCCATTGCCTTGCTTATTT